CACAAATTGATAAAAAAAATGAAAGTTAATAATGTAGTACCCTCATTTTTTATTGGATTCCTAAAAAATAACATTTATAATGAATTTGAATAATTTTTTCGGATTTTTTTTAAGCTTTAATCCGACCGATTCAGCCGATTCCCGATCCGGATCGCCGATTCGTCGATCCGGATCGGTTTTTGAGGTGTCCGATCCGGGTCACCTATCCGTTTTTTAAACCATTGGCCATAACTAAATGTTAATTCATGCTTTGTTGCAGGAACTCAGATCCTCACCTACCAATCATTTCAGGTCACTTCAAGGGTATTTATCTTGTATTGTTCAATATGGTGGTGACTAAGATAGTATTCTTATTTTCTTTCTGCTATGCATCAAATTTGCTTTTGCTTTAACTGTTTAGTGAAGAATTTTCCTCATTATGTGAGGTTGCTATGGCAATACAAGAATGCATGGACTTCCATTCATGTGCTTGTCATTTTTTTGAATGGTAAGTTGGGTATGTGTTGCTTAGGCTATTTAGTGGACTATAGATATTTAGTTAAAATTCTACCTTCATGTACAATGTGTTCATCTTAACAAACATTACTCCAATAAGTCATGTAATAATCTATGAAATGGTGGAACAATTGGTCTTGATCTTGTATGCAAGTACAAAAGTGTGAAAGACATACATGAACCTGATGGTATACCTAAGGAACAGAAATGTAGTCAATTTTAAAGAGGGAACCCTTTTGATTATTAGTTCTTTTCTAGTGGAGTTGGTCTCTTCATCAAAAAAAAAAAAACACAAAAAATACAATCGCTGTATAAGAAAGTTCTAAACATAATAATTTTAGTCTTTTTCCATCTTCTAGTAACCACGTTGAATGAACTCGTTCAAGCGCTTCAGCTCCCCACTCTGCTCGTCTACCACTGCTTGGACAACATCTCGAATGGAGACCATCCCGACCATCTTCGCATCTATCACAGGTATGTGTCTGATGTGCTTCTCTATAGACATAATTTTTAGATGCATCATAATTCTTTTCATTAGAGATTAAAGACAATCAAGAGGCAGCAAAACTGTAATCATGAGTGATGGCATAGTAAATTAGCGAAATGGAGAAAAACTAGAGGTCATTATTGTGAAGAAAGAGCTCCAAGCAGCTGTAATAGACAGTATTCACTACATCTTGGATGCCGTGAAGTATGAGCTAGGATGTGACGTGTAGGAGCAATGTAGGGCAAAATTGTGATCTTGTGCAGGAGCAGTGTGGGGCAAGTGCTGTAATTTTATAGTTGTTAATGAGTAATGTATCATATTTGTAGAGGGAGTAAATGTAAAATTATTTCCTAAAGTCGTAATATATCAAATATCATTTTTCACTTGGTATCAGAGCAAGGAACAAAGATCTTCTCAACATAATCAAGGTACCAATAATCTCCTTGTTTTCTTCACTCTTACCTCTACTTCTTCAAAACCCCAACTGATCTGCTTATCTTCTTCCTTGATATTTTCTTTCCACCTAAACCCTAACTTGAAAACCCTAATTGATATTCTCTTTCTTCTTCAGAACCTTAGCAATCTGCTCATCTTCTTTGTAAACCATAACCTGAAAAGCCAAATCCTCTCCCATAAACCGTATTTTCTTCTTCTTTCTCATTCTTCAATCTGATTCCATCCTGTTGTCCTTCATCTTAAATCTTATTTTTCCTTCCTCTATTTCTTTTGTCTTAATCTTCATCTAATCTTCTCCCTAAACCCTAACTTCATCTCTTGATTTTCTATTTTGATTATTTTCCCAATCCTCTTTTTATCCTCTACCTTAAATTCTTTCATTGAAAGTCTTTTATACCTAATTGCTTTCTTCTCTTTTCTTTATCTCTTATAAAAAAAAAATCTTTATAGCCTCTCTCCAAAATCAGTTTCTTAAAAAAAAAAGAAATCTGAAGTCGTTTACAAAATGGGGACCTAAAAATAAAAAATAAAAAGATGAAACACTGAAAAGACAAATATCTGTTCTCATCCAATGACGCTTCCCTGAATTCTTCAGTTCTTCCCCCAACTTGTTTTTTAAAAGTTAACCTCGACGAATTTCCTTACATGGAAACATCGAATCTTACCTTCCATTTGAAATCTTGGCCTTATGGGTCAATGGATCTGATCCTTTGCCGAGTAAAAAAAATTCATAGAAAAGAAAAAGAAATGTAAAATTGTCTACATGAGACCTATTCCCAAGGCTCAGAAGCAAGGTCTTTATTGTTGAAAATGGAATTTCAAAACCTGAAAAGTAACTTGCCCACCACTATCGAGTATTTGAAAAAAATGAAGACTTCCATTGATTAACTTGCAGCTATTGGACAGCTGGTATCTGAGGAAGATAAGGTACAATGAACTCTTGCTGGCCTGGGTTCCTAGTGCCATGTGTTTATTGCATCATTGCCTTGTCAGTCACATTGTCGTTCTTTGAAGGACTTCATCCTCTGTTGCTGAAACATGAGGCAATGTCCATTGCACCTAATGCTCGTACAATGAGAAGAAGGATCTCAGTACTAAGGGTGGCAATGGATTCAGGCTCGACCCATACCCGCTGGGTATACCCAACACGGGTCGGAGTATGGGTCCAAGTTTTGGACCCGCTGGTAGGGTCTGGGTCCAATAAAGGATACCCTGATAGTCCCGGGTCCAGGTTCGGGTCCTTCTATACCCGACCCGGTGGATACCCAGACTCAAATTTTTAGTTTACCCAAAAGGCCAAAGCCCCAACCCTAAAATTGTTTCAATACTTTTCGTCTTCCCTTGGTTCCCAAAATGGCTAAACCCCATCGCCATACTCCCTCTCTCTCTCAGTTTCTTGGAGACATAGCTCTCTCTTTGAATCTCTCTATCTCTCTCTCTCTCTCTCTCTCTAATTGCTCCCCCTCAAAAATCAATTCTCTGTTATTCACCATTGTAGGCTACAAAAACGAAGCTCATAGTGAGGGTGGCAATGGACCCGATCAGACCCAGGACTCGATGGGTACGGGTATGGGTCCAACTTTTGGACCCGGCTGGACCTGGACCCGAATACATTTGGGTCTGGGTCCGGGTCCAGGCAGACCTAACCCATACCCGACCCATTGCCACCCCTACTCAGTACTCACATAATGTTCTAAATGTTTGCATTTTATTCATCTCATGGTCATGGGAGGAAGAGGATGAATTCGGAATACTAACTTTCGAGGAAGATGTATATAAACTTCTCCTACTAATTGCAGTCAATACTAATTGTCATCAACTTAGCTTACAAAGAATATTAGTAGCACATGTCAGTTATGTGAAAGGAGGACATGCCGCTGCCAACATCAGTTCAGATTTAATGCCAACTTTAATGTTGGAATTTCAGATGGCACATTGTGAATTTTGGGTTTGGAGATCAACTTTTTTGGGTTTGGAGATCATCCTATTTCTACAACTTTTATGGGTTGTCGATTGATGCGACAATCTGATGGGAGATCAATCAGATTAATGGTGGTGCATGGATTGTCAATTGATGCAACAAATCATGTTTTTGGTGATGTTGGTAAGTTTTTTTAATTTGATTCCATATCATGCAGAAAGGAAGTTTTGGGAGATGAAGGATTCAACCCATCACACATTTAGGAAGTGCATCAATGTGTTCGTCTCCAAACTCTTTATTTTTTTCCAACACATTTATTGATCCACACATAAGAGAAACATTGATTTTGTTTCACAGCTAGTTGTGATTCAAATTCCTATGTATTTCTACTCCTTTCTTTAGGAAGACGCTTGCTTAAGGGGAACAAAATGGAAATTTATATGTTCTAAAAGAAGCCCCATAGCCTATGTTTCAATTGAAGTTGAAGAAGTCATCCTTGCTTATGTTTGAAGTTGATGTATCAAAAGCGAAGTGAACTTATGTCACCATCATTCAGCCCATTGCAATATATCATTCCTCAAGAGTCTTGTTGGAAAGGGCCTTTCCCCCTCCTTTTCTTTCCAATTTTTTTTTTTAGTGTAGACACCTCACTTTGGGTAAGGGAATTCCCAGGTGCCCAAACCCTTAAACCATTGGGCTTAGACTTAGACGCCTTCTCCAACCTACCAAGAACCTAAACCCCATACCAAGCCACCTTAGGGAACAATCAAGGGTAGAAAGTCCATAGTGTGCATATCCCCATACTCCATGCTTCTTTAGGAAACAACCTTAAAATGCCATAGATGCCCTACCATTAGGAAAGACAATTAGATAACCTTAAAAACCTCTTAGTTGACCCTAAACCTTCCTAGTCAACCTTAGCTCTTAGGAAAACCTTCCAAATTAGGCTAGACACCTTCCTGATCAGGTTGACCCCATTCAAGGACCCTTAAACCAACTCTCTGGAGTTCAAGAACTATAACCCGCCAAGAAATATCCAAATTGTGCCAAATTTGATTTTATCTTTTAGTGGACATTATAAGGTTTCTAACAGTCTAAGAATCACTCAAATTGGGCATATACTTTGAAAGTTATAACCAAAACAAATTTGTCCACCTAAAATTCCATTTTGGTCGCTCAAAGACGCTTTATATGTTTTTGACGACGCACGTTATGTCGTTGATGATGCAATATGTGTCATTAGGCCAGAAATGCCCATAAACAGCTAGAAATGCCAAATTTAATGCCATTGTGGAGTAGAAATGATGATGATGCAGAGTGCATTGTTGTAAGAGACAGCCCACATTTGGCCTACACTTCATGAATGATGGTTATAGGTGCCCTTTCAAATCTTTTTTCTAGCATTGGAAACCTAGGTATTTGTGCCTTTATCCCTTTCGGCCATTTGACCATTTCAACCTTAAAAGAAGCCCTAGAACCTATGTCCTAAAGAAACCCTAGGATCCCTAAAATTCCAATAAACATTATCTAACCTTTTCTAAACCAAAAGTGAATTGAAATATTCAAGGAAGCTAACCAAATGTAGGTCCTAGCCACGACCCTCGATTGCACTAGGTTTCAACCCTGCAAGCTATCTTTACCCCATTCAAGTTCAAGGTAGTCCTTTTAAGTCATCTTTCGTTCAATTCATCTCGAAGGACTGAGGAAGTAAGGTCGCTTCGCATCTGTAAGTCTGATCTAGGCCCTCAACTCTGGATGTCCATCCTATGAGCTCGCGTTGAGCAAGTAAGTTATTTTCTTCAATTTTCTTTATGTTTCATTACAATGGCTGTTAGTTCTATTTCATCTCATTGAAAGGTACTTTCAAAGCTGTTTTCGTTTGAGTTTGGTGAATCCTTAGCCGGCACAACCAGCGGATAATAGGAAGTAGGCCGAGAGTTCCTCTTTTGATGGTCTGTAATTTGATAGAACCCTGAATCTCTCTACTTGATTCAAGTATAAGTGATCTTGTTTAGGCTAAAATCAAAGTGGAGAGAATCTTAATTCTTCAATGTTTTAAAAAAGGTCCGCCCGGCACCTAGGCGGCATGAACCAAAATACCGCATGCCCAGACCCAGGTGGCTCTACACCAGTGGATGTACCTCGGTGGGCGCCCAGGGATGTGGCTTTTTTTTCTTTTTTTTTTTTAAATACCCAAAAGGGAAAATGGGGTAATTTTGAGGTTTAAATAGGTTATGGCGGTTATTTTCAATCCTCAAAGTTAAAAGAAAATTCCATAAACCCTAAATCTCTTAGCTATACCTGTTTTTGAGAATCAAAAGTATTTTTTGTGGTTTGAAGAACCTTCCTAAACCTTTTCACCTATTATGAAATATGGAGAGTTTGAGACTATTACTAATACATATCCTATTAGACTTTTAAATTTTGTATGGTTTGAATTTTGAAATTTTGAACAAATTTATTCTCAACATGCGATATGTCATATTTTTGTACATAAAAAAATATGTTACAATATTTTCAAATATAATAAATTCTAAAATTGACACAAATATATGTATATATACTACATATCTATATAACCTTGTACACCAGGGCGCCTGAGGTTCTTGGCGCCTGCCTGAGCGATGGACG